ACTAGGGATGAGGGAAGGAAGGGGAAAGGAAGGAAAAAAAGAAAAAGAGAATAGAAGGAAAAAATGGAAACAAAGCCTTTGAAAATGAGAAGAGGGGCTGAATGGAGGGGAGGGAAAGGGAAAAAAGAATTAAGATATATCATGTACGATGAATGTTATGTATATCTAAGATGTACCAATAAAATTAAAAGATAACAAATGAAGAATGGGAGAGAAGCGGGTTTTGCAGCGCTAACCTGGACCAAGTGAATGGAAAAAGGGTGAGAGCAAATACTATAATACACGCTGCCTGTGGGCGACAGTGTGGGCTGTCACAGAGAGTTAGGGTAGCCAAGCCTTCCTGGCATCAGGGTGTCTTTCTGTGCGGTCCAAATCTCGAAACCCGAGAGGACTTTTACATCCGGGTCCTGAGAGGCGGTGCTGGGATCCCACGCCTCAGGCTGACTTAAATTCTAGGCCTCCTATTGAAAACCTGCTAGAGCCCTCACCAGAAGTCCACCTGCGGGGCTGGGGACCTGCCCTGCGCACGTGTTCGGGGCCTCGTAATTAACAGGCCACGCCCACTGCCCCGGCCAGCTTCGCCAGGGTCCTAGTCTGCCTCGCTTCTTGCCTGATCCTGGCACTGACATCGCCTCTTCTGTTTCGATATTTCGTTTGCTGGCAGCAAGGCACTGGGTCCTGTCCACACCCCACAGGCGGGGATTATTCAAGGATGGGGACACAGGCAGCGGTCCTTTTTCAGAAAATTGAAGTATTTATTGAGGTGGTGGTAGATCCACGGGCAGTTTGTAAATAAGACAGCGTGGTCTCGGATACACTTACTCATTTTACCCTGAAGGTAACATTTTGCAAATCTAGTAAAATATCCCAGCCCAGATTCTGATATTGACAGAATCCACCGATCTTATGTAGTTCCTGTGTCCACACCCACGATCCGGGATCCTTCACGTTAGAGGACCGCATTGAAACCCGCACAGAGCAGCCCACCCAAGGCGCAGGTTCCCTCCCCAGACGGCACTGGCGCGGAGACTGGGGCCTCTCCTGGGTCAGGTTCCGGGCCTGGGTGCTGCCGTGGGACGCAGGCCCCCGTCGCAGCTCCGTCCCGTGGATGGCTGCCTGCCTGCCTCTGAACTCGCATGTTGGGGTCCTCGTCTCCATGTGATTGTGTTTGGACATGGGGCTGTCGCTGTGGGTGCTGGGGTCTGAGGACGGGCTTCCAGGTTCTCGTGCATGGTGAACAACGAGCTGGACGTGGCAAGTGACAGGAAAAAGCAGCCCAGTTTAATGAAGTTTGCTCAGGCGACTGCACTCAGAGCGAGCGGACAGATGGAAAGGAAAGTGGCTGAAGCACTGACGGTGTTGGGCGGAAGGATTCAGAACCCACTGGGTGTTCCCAGCGAGACTGACAGCGTAGTTGACCGGGTGCAGTCAGGTCAGCTGTGTGTACTGCGCTGACCTTTCCCATGATTCACTGTTACAGTTGGGTGTGGAGGTGCGGCTGTGCATGAACCTAGCAGCTCCAGGTGAAGAGTGGTCCCTGTAGGTCATGCCAGCAGGTCTGGCACACATCCGTAGAGGTTCAGCACTTCGGAATCTTCCAGGGGACTTACTGTCCTTCCCTCTGCCCTGATAGTAGACCTTGGGACAAAGGCCCAGGTTGGCCCTGGGGTGTGGCCCTATAGCCCCGGTGGAGCTGACTGTGTCAGGGCTTTTGGGAGGTGAGGAGGTCTTGAGGCAGGGCCTTCCAGGCTGGTTATGCCCGGGTGTAAACAGAGGGGAACTTGCGCCAGTCTCCTCCCTGCGGTGAGGGCACAGAGAGACAGCCAGCCGCAGACGCAGAAGAGCAGCCATGCTGGCCCACACTGGCTTCCCCCTCCTTCTGCACTGTCAGCCATCACCCTCCGCCCTGTGTCCACTGTCAGGCCGAGACAGCCCTCCGCCCCAGCACAGCCTCCCGGCCCCAGCCAGCTTGTGCTTGTGGTTTTCATCCTGTGCTTGGAGTCCATCTTCCTTTGCTGACCACTGGCACTGTGGACTGCTGCTCCTGCCTCAGACGTGAGCCAGCATGGGACTGAGAGAGATCCCTTAGCCAGCGGCTGCAGCTGCCCAGGTCCAAACCTCCTTATATGAGCCAGGTGTGGCAGCACTGAGGGAGGCTGGGGCAGAAGGATTACAAGTCTTGAGTTGAACCTGAGCAACTTAGTGAGACCCCATCTCAAAATAAAAAATAAAGGGCTGGGAATTCATCTTGGGGCTTTATATAGACACACGCGCACACACACACTCACACATGCACTCACGGAGGGAGGAGAGTAGAGGGAGAGGGAGGACAGGGATGCTTCTCTAGCTGAACCAACTGATACACAGTAGAGAAAGCCAATCCTTAGGCAGTAAGGAGAAAAGCCAAGAAGCAATCCATTCCTCCCATTTGGCCTTAGGGTCTGATGGCACTTAGGTACCTCTAGAAGGAGGGGTAGACTGTGTGCTATACACAGCACGAGGGTGGGCTGCAAACCCATTTCAGAGGCCACTGGACTCAAAACTGCGTAGTTGGGGAAGCACCCTCTCTCCCACCCAGAAAGAATTCCAAGCTTTGCTGTCTTTGAAGCCAGCGTCTCAGAACCCCTGGAAAATAGCTGCGTGACCCTGGACCCCAACCTTCTCTGCACCCCTCCTGCAGAGCAGACCTGCTCACTAGGATGGCCAAGGAAGAGAAAGGAGGGTACAGGGCCCCATCTTTGGGGATATCCCCGTGACTGTGACCTGCTTCTCCACCCAGCCCCCACCCCTGCCATTTCCACCTCCTCCCAGGGGTGTGGCAGGGACCACAGGAGCGCTGAGGGACATTTACCATCCAAACCATGGCACTGGGTCACAGAAAATTGCGTGTGTGTGTGTGTATATATATATGTATGGTTTTTTTTTTTTTTGGTACGGGAATTGAACTCAGGACCTTGCGCATTAGAGACAGGCAGCAGAAACACTGAGCTAAATCCCCTGCCCCAGGTCACAGGAAATTGATTTTTGTGGTGGTTGTTGTTGTTTGGGGGTTTTTTTTTGGTACCGGGGATCGAACTCTAGTCCCTGCGCTTGCGCAGCAGGCGGCGGAAACCACTGAGCTAAATCCCCGGCCCGGTCACAGGAAATTGAAACCAAGATTATTTTGAAGAGGGCGATGTCGGGACAGGTGTTCTCCTCAGAGGGCGGTCCCTCCTTCGTGTGCGGGACTGGGCACTGTTTCCAAGGGCACGCATGAGAAGGCCCCACACGTGCTGCTGAGGGAGAGGGACTCCGGGTGACGCTCTCAGGGTCAGTGCGGTGACCACTGAGTAGCAGGTGGCCTTATCCGTGCACCACATCCCCGCGTAGCACAAGAAAAGGAAATGGCTCCAAGGTGGTGAGAAAGAGTCACGAACCCTGCGATCCCCGAGGTCCTGGGCAGCAAACCAGTTCCCAGAGGCATCACGCGCAGCGATGAGCCTCAGGGAGTGGGGCCTGGCAGCAGTCCAGCAGTTGTGGGCTGAATCCATGCTCGGATATTTTGCCACCTGTCTTTCCCCTCCGTGCATATTTATAAATTGCCTTTAATTATCTCCAGTCTTGGCAGTCAGCTTTGTTTAAAAAGTGTCCACCTCCTGCTGGGGAATTCTCCGAGCTGTCTCTGTGGAGCAGGCGAACCTGCCGCTGTTATGTGCACTCTACGGACGGAAGGACTTTGGGCTTCGGTGGGTCCTGAGAGGCTTGCGGAGAATACTTTCGTGGGCCTCAGCTCCCGCAGACTCAGAGTGGGGCTGCAGAGTCCGTGGCCAGAGCCATTGATGGTGCTCAGGAACAGCACTGCCGCCTGTCCTGTCCTCTTCCCATCCAGCCGGCCCCGCTTTATTTTGCTTTGCTTTGGACCTGACCGCTTCAACTCGTGTGACTCAGCCTACCTTGCTGACCAATTCATTCTTGTGAAACAGTTGCGGTCGATGTCTTTCTTTAACGCCACTGAAATCTCAGTGAAGAAGAAAACAGGAAGCTCTGATCACTCCACCTCTTAGAAATAACCATATTATTATTTGGTATTTTTCCTTCTCAACCCTTTGTGTATAATCATTTTCATGTGTAATGTGTTTTTCAAATATGTACCAAAGTTCAAAGCCTAAAAGTAAAATATATGCAAGTGGATTTTTTTCCCTTCCAAGAAAGAAGGAACATGCTATAAAATTGCAAAGATTCCTCACCATCTTGATAGTTTGTAATTATGGATCTCCAGGGTTTGTACGTGGGCTTTAGCTTTTTCAGTTTATAACAGAGATAGGTATTTTCAATTGGCCAAAGTCTAAACCTCCAGTTTCATATTCAATATTCACCCCCATGCATCTCAGTTGATTTTCCTGTGGTGATAGATACCCTTTCTCTTCTTGTGCCACTATTAGCATGTGCTTCACCTACCTTCATTCAGTTTTACACAGTAGTAGCGACAAATCAGTCTCAGTTTTCCGCAGCTCCGCTGCAGCCGCCTCAGAACGAGCTGTGGCCGACGCCGGCTCCTGCTCGGTGGGCGTCCCTTGGCGGTCCATCATCTCGGACCTCTGGCGCCTCGGCGGGGCAGCTCCTGCTGTCTGAGCGTGGCTGGAGGCTGCTCATCTCTGGCCATGGTACCATGTCTGCAGCACCGACTCGGACCGCAGCACAGCCCCCACCACATCTGCACACCCCTGCCTGGACCAGGCTACTCAGTGGATGCCTTGAGACCCACGTTTTGTGAAAAGTAGTTTAAAAGTGAAAATTTATAACTATGAAAGCCTGATTTTGAAATATAAGAAATTGAAGGTTACTTCTTTATGCTTTTTCACGTTTTGGTAACACTTTATAGTTTTGAGTCTTTGGTAAATGGCATCATTATCATGAATCTTTCATCACATCATTAATATTTTTTGTAAATAATTTTGTGTGTGGTGCTGGGGATTGGACCCAGGGTCTATCCGTATGCTAGGCAAGTGCTCGACCTCTGAGCTCCTTCCCCAGCCCTTTGAAAACAATTTTAATTGATGCATAATAATCATATTTTATAGATTCATGAATTAACCCTTCAAATATTATTGAACAGTTGGATTGTTACCAGGTTTTGTTGTGGGGTTTTTTGCTGTTATAATGCATTTAACCACTTTGCAGAGGTAAAATCTATTTAGATTCATATTAAATGCACAACGAGCAATATGTAAAGATTTTATTTCCCCTATCTTTGATCTATTCTTATATCTGCTTTAGAGAAAGGTGATCCCCAAGCTATTTGGAGATTAAGAGAAGTGTAACCTCCCTGTTTCTTGGGAAAGCCTTTTCTCACTTGTCCTTCTTGGTATTTCTGCAGGCAAATGCCTTTGTCCTTGTGTACATGCACCCTGCTGGTCTCTGGTTTGGGTTGTGATGCTGGTGGAGAGATTCTTGCAAAGTCAGGCTTACCTTACACCCCAGGTACTCTGTGTCAGTCACATGGCACAGCCAGTCACCAGCTGAATAAGCCTCCAGCCTCTTGGTGTTCAGATGGACAATCCTGGGAGACTTCCAAGTGCTTCTTTTGTTGTTGTTTTTGTTTTGTTTTGAGAACTCCCCGAGATCCTCCTGCCTCAGCCTCCCCTCAACCTCGAGTGCTGGAATTACAGGCATGCACCACACTATTCAGCACCAAGTACTTCTCACAGATGGTGGCAGAGTTGGTACCCTGCTGTCTATGCAGTGACCTCAGTGGTGTCTTCCAAGGGCTCTTTTTCCCTCCAGTTCTCTCTCCTGCATCGTAGAATTTCCTCTCAAATTAATTACACTCAGTCCTTGCCTCAGGCTCTGCAACGGAGGAAACCTAAATGAAGACTCATATAACAATTGTGACTTTTTTCTTTACCTTGCTTCTTACATGTGATGCACTTTTATCTACATGGCAAGTGTGTAAACAGCCTGGTGATTATGATTAGCAATACACAACCCCTGGGCAAAGCTAAGGGTTATTAGGGGAAGTAAATACTGAATGACCTAATACCATTAGTCTTTAAGTAGTTGCAAAGTCTAGAATGTGCTCTAAAGTTATGGCCTCTTCCCATAGCTCTTTCTTGCTTAATATCTGAATGCAGCAAAGAAAACTCTCATCACCATAATAAGCTTCCTAGTGGAGCGCTCATTACCTTTCCCAAACTTAGGAGAAGTCCCAGGTGACTTCAAGTCTGTTACTGAGCCCTGGATCTCTATGATATTTGCTCTTCTTACACATAACAAAGCTTTGGGCTGGGGTCATAGCTTAGTGGTCAAACACTTTCCCACCATACACAAGGCCCTGGGTTCAAATCCTAGTACCACAGGCAAAACCATACAAAATAAAACAAAAGATATCGAAGCTTGTAAGTGATCAGTGAGTTAGTGGGCAGCTGTGTTTTGGAGTCATGTTGCTTCTGCCTGAGAACTTAGCAGTAATAGTGATCACGGTCATAATAACACTGAAGTTGTGGCACTGAGAGCTAAGGTAGTGTACACACCTGCTCATCTCCGATGCTCTCCAGCCTTGTCAAGTGGATCCCATTATCCCGGCGTCTCCATGAGGACACTGAGGTGGGGAGCCTGGTGTGCCTGGTCCCATAGGTACTGATCGAGTGATCCCCCACCCTGCCCCGCCTAAGTCAGCTCTGCCTGTAAGCACTTCGTGCCGGGACACGGTGGCCCTCAGGACAAAGCACAGTCAGGCCCCATGGCTTTTTACACACGGGTCCTCTGTAGCCAGATAGAGGTCTTGGTTATGTCTACCGCTGGTGTGAATGTATGCTCTGCTCCTCCAAAGCAGAAGTCTGCAGACCGACTCGTGGCTCACCAGCCCCAGAAGCAGGTGGGGCATGAGGCCTGGTTTCTTTCCGTACAGCACACTGGCAGGAGACAGCTCATCACTGCCCAGTGTTAATTATGACAGTCATTGCATGCATCAGCACTGGCACCAGAAGTTATATCGTTATATCATAGAAGGATCTTAGCTGGCCCCCTCTCCCCTGAAATTTATTGTACTTATGCCCCAAAAAGTCCTTCTTGGAGAAACTCAGTACAACAGGAGGAGATGGTTGGGGGAAGAATGTTTTGTCTCCTGAAAGCTGGGTGTGGTCATCTGTGAACTTTGGCATTTGGTTTTTTTCATAGCCGACTCTGTGCACCAGTGATTTTATGGCAGTCACTGTGTTTTTCTCTTTGTTACTGATCTAAAGAGAATGGAGTTGATTGTGAATAAACAGCATTATAATAATGACATGTTGTCTTGAGCCTTTGTGAATTCCAGTTAGTAAAGAGGCAGGGTTTTCCCTGCATTATAGGCTAGTGATGGCAAATCTTTTAGAGCTTTCAATGATACAAACAGTCTGCTGCGGCACACGTGCCATTGATTCACCACCACTGTTAGGTGATGGTAAAACTTGCCAGCTGTAAGTCATTGTAAATCTTACCAGGATAGGTATTTCTTTCCTTTGTATTTTTCATGAGTATTAATAGACTGAGTTGGTTGGAAAGGAAAAATAGATAAAAAGGAAATTTGAAGAGACTATAAAGAGTGGATTTGATTCCATAACTGTCCTAAATTTCATAATTGCTTAGGCTGGGTTGGTACAAAGTTTTTATTAATCATTTTCTATCTTTACCCTGCAAATCTGAAAGTGGTGATTACCCTAGTTCTTTTAAGGTACCATGGGGAAATGTTACAAGATAAATAAAATGAAGACTGTGTAGCACTTTGAAGTGCTCAGAAGGAAAAGTGCATGAATTTAAGTTGGCAGCATTGAATTACAGTGCCCTGAGAGAAAGGGACATAATGTTCAGCACTGGCTGCTCATGGCACATTTTATCCCTCAGGGTTTTGCACTGTCATAAAATAAGGGGCAGGGTACATTAGAGAATTATTAATTTTTACTTGTTCCTGCTTAATGCGAAGTCACAAAATTATAATGTCACTACCAGGGTTATTACCCAGTGCAGTGGGTAAATCCCAGTAAAATTACTTTAGTCTATGTCTTAGTTACTTTCTTGTTGCTGTGACAAAATACCCAACACCCACAAGTTAAAGGAGGGAAGGTTTATTTTAGTTCAAAGTTTGTAGATGGCATAGGGTTCCAAGTTTCCAAAGTTCCAAGGTTCCAAGTCTTGGTCAGCTGGTTCCAAGGCAGATTGGCATGGCAGAGGAGAAACAGTCCATGGCAGGGTAGGGAGGAGGCAGGAAGCAGAGAGCCTTCCTTTTCCTTTTTATTCCATTCTGGCTATAAGCCCATTGGTTGGTGCCCAGGGTGGGACTTCCTATTATCCACACCCAGAACTATGCTAAACCAATCAGTTGGCTAATCCAGTTACCCATGAGCCAGCCACTCCCAAAAGCCCTACCTACGGAGGGCACATCCAGATATATGCCATAACATTGTACCTGCGCATCTATCATTGACCCACAGAAAACACAAGCATAAAATAATGTGTAAATTTTATGACATTATTAAGTATGTATTTATCAATTACAAAAGAAATGCATGTTTATTTTTAAAAATCAAAGAATATGACACTATTAGAATGTAAAAACAAAACAAAAAGCCTTTCTCTATATTCTGCCTCCCTTCACACACCCTGTGGTAACCTGTAGAGAATGTCAAAGCTACCATTTCAGAAATTCAAGATGAGATGGGTGAACATTATTGGCAAATAGGCTAGGGATTTAGCTCAGTGGTGCTGTGCCTATCTCGCATGCGCAAGGTCCTGAGCTCCATCCCTGGTACAAAAAAAAAATTATTGGCAAGGAGTTTTGAATGGGTAGAAACTAAAAACTTAAAACCCTAATAAGAAAAATTCTAAAGGAATTTTAGGAATTTGAAAAGCAATTCTGGGATTTGAAGGATATTTTTCTATCTTTAATAGAAATGTCAGTATGACTTAAAGTTGAGGGTCATCTGAATTCCTTTAAAAATCAGTCACTTAGACTGTAATTTTATGAAATGTGCTCTAATGACTTGAAGATTGTATCATATCTGCCTCTGTAGAGATACCTGTGCACCCTAAACTCAATCCATCGTGGACCTACCAATCTAGTACTGCAATTCTTTGCTGATTGGCCTGTCTCACAGAACAGGTCTGCATCTTGTTTTCAATGGGTCTCCACAGTCTTTTGCACCATGCAGCACATATATTAAGTGCTCAAGACATGGTTTGGGCAGCAAGGGAGAGAGGGTGCAGGGTGAGGTGAGAGGCCTTATTGTGGTGAGGAATACAGTTTTTGGGGGGGCACAGTCATGAAATCTTTAGGTTTAATCTGTCCTAGTCTTTTCATTAATGATCTTTCTGGAATGTATTAGCCTTTAGTCCTACGGTTTGCCAGGGATGGAGTTTTAACCTTTTTAAAATTGTTCTTACAGCTCAAAGAGTATCCTGGACTAGATTTCTGTTGGCCAGTGTCCTACATTCTGATGTAGGGCCCCAAATGAGACTGAGCTTCTGAGACTGTGACAACACAGTACTCCCCCTTATCCAGTGTTTACTTTCCAGTTACCTGTAGTTAGCTGTGGTCTAAAAATATTAAACAGAATATTTCAAGAACAAACAATTCATAAGTTTAAATCATTTCCTTCTTGACCACTTTTATACCCACCCATCCCAAATTCCTTCTAGAAATTCTTACCAAAAATATGTAAATTTTAAGTTTTTATAGCAGAGAAAATTTACCAGAAAAAATGTCATATTTTCTTCCTTAATTATTATGAACAAGCTACTTTCTTATTTGTTTGGGGTTTTTGTCTCTTGCTATGCAGTCTAGGCTGGTCTTGAATTGATGATTCTCCTGCCTCAGCCTCTCAAGAGCTAGGATCACAGACGACCCCAAGCACACCTAGCACTAAATAAGTTGTTTTTAAGAAGAATTTAGGGTAAGGGATTTAGTTCAGTGGTACTGTGCCTGCCTCACAAGCATAAGGCCCTGAGTTCGATCTCTGGTACCAGGAAAAAAAAAAAGTATAAAAGGCTTTATAGATGTGATTTAGATTTAATATTCAAAAATTTAATCAGAAATCATGACTCTGGCACATGGGTGGTATCCTATCTGTTGCTGACATGGACAAGCAGTTACAGTACTGAATACACAAATGTGTGGAAAGCCTTTTGAGAATCTGGATTTTAAAAACACTAAAGACTGGTGACTGATGTCGGACTGACCTGGGTGTGAACTTGAGCCAAGTAACTTTCTTAGCCTCATAGCCTCATTGGGAACCAGAATGATCCGCACCCACATCCTGTGGTCTCCCTGAGAGTTAAGTCAGATGACACAGGTAAGTGCCACAAAGTGATACAGTGTATTTGTGTCATCCTGCACCTCTCATGTATTAAATGAAATTCATTTTGCTGTATCTTAAGACATCTAATGGATTGACTGTCTAGGGGCTTCTAAAAGAACAGGGTGCCTGTCTTCCGGAGGGACGGGAGCCAGGGCAGCAGGGACTCCTGCCTCTCTGCTGGACCCCACTCAGTCACTGCCCATTTGTTCAAGTTTTCATTTGCCCAGGAGAATCCTGCCCAGCTTGGGTTAGTCAGCCACCTAGTGAAAAGGTGGCAGAGAAGGCACCCATGAGGGGATTGCTTGTAGCCAGCACTGCTGCCCAATATCTCTCTTCTCTGTGAAATGTGAAGTGTTTTTGGAATATGCTTTTCAGTTTAGTTTATAAAACATTAGCCCTTGAAGGTAGAAACCAGAAGCATAGATTTATTTGTTCATTCATTTATTCATTCAACAAACACATAACTAAAACATATTTGTAATGTTTTACTGGTTCTGGGGATCAAATCCAGAGCTTTGCTGGATGCTAAGCAAGTGCACTGCTATAAGTGAGCTATACTCGCAGCAGCATTTCTCAAATAGCTTGGCATAATATGTGGTATGCAAATGGAAGACTCCAAAACAGGAAGGAATGGTATTGTCTTTGTTACTTTCTTGTTGCTGGGACAAAATCCCCAAGTTAAAGGAGAAGAGGTTTATTTTGGCTCACAGCTTTTAGAGGTTTCAGTCTATAGTTGACTGGCTCCATGGCAGGGTGGCATAGCAGCAAGATTTGCTCTTCTTTCCTTTTTTATTCTGTCCAGGCTATTAGCCTATTGGTTGGTGCCATTCCCACCCAGGGTAGGGCTTCCTATTCAGTAAATCCATCATTCATACCCTGAATAGTGTTATACTAATCAGTGGACTAATCCAGTATCACACCCATGATCAAATCACCTTTCAAAAGTCCCACCTATGAGTGCATGAGGCTTTAGGGGGACATCTAGATATAGACCATAATGGGCAGTGACTACATTTCCTTGAAAAAAATGCTTATACAACTGGCTCTTTATTTTGTCTTTTGAGACAGGGTCTCACTATATAGCCCAGGCTGGCCTCAAACTCAAATCACTCCTACTTCCTCGGCCTCCTGAGTGCTAGGATTAGAGGCACATACCACTATACCCAGTCATAGCTGTCTGTGTTTCCTTGGATCCTGCATCCAGAAATCAAACACAGATAGAAAATATTTGAAAAAATATTGTGTCTAAGTGAGCTCGTACACACTTTTTTTCCTGTTTTATTCCCTAAGCAATGTAATATAACAATGAGTTACACAGCATTTACACCGTAGTAGGTATTATAAGTAGTTGAAAGATGACTTTAGTACATGGGAGATGTGTCTAGGTAAACATGACACCATTTTAATTTTATATGATATGAGGGATTTGAACATCTCCACGTTTTGGTATCCTGATGAAGTCCTGGGACCAGATGCCCATGAACCCCAGAATTGACTGTCCTATACTTAGCTGCTCTTAAATGACCAACCCATTTTGTTTCACTAATAAAAATTTTAACTTTAATATTTGATGTTTTCTTTAAAGTCACAGCTATAATATATGACATTACGTTACTTATTTATAACATTATGTTACTTACCAAGCAGATGCGCAGTTAGCAGTTCAGTCACTCATACTTGATTATGCTCCTAAAGTGTGTCTTTCCCTTTGCTGAACTGATTTTCATTTGTAAGCTCAAGTTTGGGTTTCACAGTAAACTCCTGTGAGCATAACACTGGGTTTAACAAACACATCCTGTACTTTTTTTTTTCATCCCTTTTCTACTGTAAATTTTTACTTTAGCATAACAGTAGCTGGTTGCATGTCTCAATATCTTTCCCTGAGGGATACAGGAGGCAACCTTTATGTTTACCCACTTGGTATGGTGAATGGCAAGGTGTGTGCACATGTTCAAAAGTTTCAAACCAAGATTTTCACCCACATGATGCTCCATCTAACAGGCTTTGCATATGCTTACCTGAGCATCACAGAGGGTATAATATACTCACATCACTCTAGGATTTGTTTATTAAAAGTTCTCTTTCAATTTTTCTGGTAGAAATAGCCCAATTCAGTGCAATGGCACCATGAAAAACCAGATTTGCAAGTTTTGGGTGAGATAAAAAATGAATCATCAGATTACTCATGTGTGGATGAAGGAGATGATCCAGTATGGTAAAATACATGTTTTCATAACAGCAGAGTAGTGTGAGTGGATGATGATGATGATGATGATGATGATGATGATGATGATGATGATGATGATGATGATGGCAACTTTGATGTGGCCATGTAAGCCAAAGTTCCTGTGACAGTGAAATGGACCAAGAATCAACTGATACAGACACAGGAAATGTAGACTTCCTTGTTTCAGATGACAAAGAAAACAGCAATGTGAGTGTATATTTGACTAGTTGAAATGTTGCAAAATGGTCATGCAACCAATGGAAAGATTCAATGTTAGAACTAGGTCTGAAAATATAGTGAGGATCTTGGCTGGGGTGAAACCTATTGAAGAGAATGCCAGTACTTCCATTCAGTGTTGGAAACTGTAACAAATGAAATGCTACAAGATATTGTGAAATACACAAAGGCTGAAATACAAGTACAATGTTCTGTTTGCACTAATAGCCATATTCAAAAATTTTTTTATTTTGGTACCAGTAATCAAACTCGGGAACTTCCGCCAGTGAGGCAGGTGGCAGAACCACTGAGCTAAATCTCCAGCCCTCAAAAATGTTTTTATAATGACACCTCACTAGCTGAACTGAAAGCATTCGTAGGTCTGCTGTACTTAGCAGGGATTTCTCATGGTAATCACAGGAATGTAAAAGATTATGGAAAAGTGATTGGTCAAAATATGGCATAAAAATTTATGCCCTTGTGGATGCAAATACTTATTATGCTTTCAGTTTAGAAATTTATCTTGGAACTCAGCCATGAGGTTCTTATTCATATAATAATAAACTGAATGATGTTGTGAATAGACTTGTTGCTCCCATCTCAGAGTTGATATATCAGTTTCCAATCGAAGCTACACTTGCTAACAGAGCACAAATTGACAAGCACAGAAACTGTATGGAGGAACAAAGCAGAGATTCCAAATGAACTGTTGCAATTTCAAAACAAGGAATTGTATAGTACAATCTTTGGATTTCAGAAAGATTTACACTGGCCTCGTATATGGCAAAGAAAAACAAACTGGTACTGCTAATATTGACATTGCACCACGATGGAAATATTGATAGGAAAACCTTGACAAAAAGGAAGCCTGAGATGGAAACTTTCTACAACAAAACCAAAGGCAGAGTAGATGTTGTTGATGAGTTGTGTAGCAACTATGATGTCATTGAAAACACAAAGCATTGGCCAATGGCTGTGTTTTACTTGATCCCAAACATGTGTGGCATAAATAGTTTGATAATTTACAAAGAAAATAACAAGGGCAAAATAATATTACTGAGAAATTTTCTTAGAGGATTAGGACTGGAACTCATAAGAGATCATTTACAGCAGAGGAAAAACAATATTTCTGCCCAGGAAACCATGGAAAAAAATTATGGAGCACATTGGTGAGCTGAAAGGTGAACAGGCAGGCGCAGCATCACAAAGACCTACTATGACAACAGGAAAACCAAAAAGATGTCAACTGTGCCCTACAAGAAAGGATAGGAAAACAAAACATACATGTTATCAGTGTAAGTGATACTTGTGTATGGAACATGCAATTTTCATGTGTGAAGACTGGCTTGGGTATAACAGTTGAAGCAAAGATTATTTTGGTTGTAGAGTTCTACTGGTATTTTCATTGTAGTTCACATAGGATTTTATTTCTGGTATCATCTTTTAGCTTTTGTAAGTAAATACACAGCTGATGTGAAAATGTTGACTATTCTAAGCACTCATTACTTGCTTGATATCTTATTTTCTTATTTAGGTGGGATAATTGAAGTAAAGATTTTTTTGCAGAGTGCTTTTGGTATTTTCATTGTAGTTCATATAGGAATTTATTTCTGATGTTATCTTTTAGGTTTTGTAAGCAAGTACATAGCTGAAATGAAAATGTTGATGTGTATTCTAAATGTGCAATACATATTAATAATTTAATATTTTATTTTATTGATATTTTATGTTCCTGTTAACTACACATTGTATAATATAATAAGAACCTCCTGACAAAACAACAAGACTAGAAAGATGTTGAGTATGTCCTACAAAAAGGCCAGGAAAGCAAAGCACTTGTGCTGTCAGTGTAAGCCATATGTGTGTATGGAACATGATGTTGTCATGTGTGAAGACTGCCTTAGGTATGATAATTGAAGTAAAGATTTTTTTTTGTAGAGTGCTATTGGTATTTTCATTGTAGTTCATATAGGAATTTATTTCTCTTGTTCTTTTTTAGACTTTGTATGACATAAAACAGTTGATGTTGAAAAACGTGATGCTTTTTTTATAAACTCAATAAATATTTAAAATGCAATGCTTTATTTTTGTGATTTTTTTTTCCTGTTAAGGACTCACTGTTTAATACAATAAAACTGATAAAATTAATAATTCCTCAATAGAGATATTCTAAAGAATAAACATGGGTTTGACACACCCTTGTTTCTGTGACTTTCTGACAAAAAATGTGTTGTGCTTTGTATCACATTCGAGGTAAAAAGGGTGGGCACTGTTGTCTACAGGTGATGGGAATTAAAGCTGAGGTTTAAAATAAACTTGAGATTGGCAGAAGTATTAGGGGTTGATGTTAATTATTTGTGTTTCCAAGGAGAATTCTGTTTTAAGGAGGTCTGGGCAGCATTCCTCCTTACAAGATTGTACTGAACAAACCGAATTGCATTTATTCCATTTTATTAAGAATAAAACAGAGGTTTTTTTCCTTTCAGCACAAAACAAATTTTATTTGGAGTATTTATTAAACACTGAGGAGTAAGTAGAAAAATGATAGAAGTACAATGTGTAGTAATAGGTAAAAAATGCTAATGATACATGTTGAAGTAATAACTGAATGGTTCCATTATGGACTTTTGCTGGGGAAATTGGTTTTCTAAATAAAATGAACATAACTCAGGACCCATAATTTTCTAATCTAGTGGCCATTATTTCTAAATTTATGTTTTGTTATTGTAAAATTGTTTGTAAAATACTAAATTTATTGGCAATCTTAATTCAAGTTATTTTGTGATTGATGGAGGATATACAGTGTTTAATGGCAGGTATCTGAAAGAATTTTAGAAAGAATGAAAAAAGTAGTAGTATAATTTTTTGTTGTCAAAACAAATTAAATTATCAATTATTTGAGTATAAAGGTGAAGACTGGGCTGGGGATTTAGCTCAGTGGTTCCACCGCCTGCTTCACAAGCGCAAGGACCCAAGTTCAATCCCAGGTACCAAAAAAAGAAAAAAGAAAAAAAAAAGGTGAAGACTTGCTGGTGTTTAGTATCAAGGTTTTACCTTCTCCAGTGGAGCCCATCAAGTAGTTTGGGAAAAGAGTAGTTTTCTTTTGAGCTTCCATAACATTTCTCCATCTATCACATCATATTGTAGATGTTTAATATTCATTCAGCTTTGGTTTTTGAGACAGGGTCTCACTATGTGGTTCAGGCTGTTCTTGAACTCACTATGGAGCCCAGGCTGGCCTCGAACTCGAAGTGATCCTCCTGCTTCAGTTTCCTGAGTGCTGGGAGGATAGGTATGCACCACCAGGCCTGGCTTCAGCACATATTTATATGAGCATCACCATGTGCCAGGCATGGTTCCAGGTGCAGAAGATAAAGTGATGAATATAAGACACAAAAACCTGCTCTCATGAAGCTGTAGTGGGGAGAAGCCAGGAAAGAGGGCGATGTATAAATAATCAGCTTAACTTGAGTTTGAGCTGAGAAGTAGGAAGAAGTGAAAACCAGACTGGGCAGGAGCAGCATCCAGCAGAACCTGGAGGGCAGGGCCTGCTGGGGGAGGGGCCACACGATGGCGGTCTCTGGTGAGGAGCCACTGGTTCACAGACTTAAGGGGAGAGGATTCCTGGCTGGGCAGAGATGGTGGCGAGTGTGGAGCCCCCCCAGTAGGAAGGAAATTGTGTCTTAACAACGTACATAAGGAGTACATTAGAAGACTGGGGCAAACTGGGTGTGGTGGCACCTGCCTACGATCCCAAGCACTTGGAAGGCTGAGGCAGGAGGATTGCGTTGAGTTTGAGGCCAGCCGGGCCTACATAATGAGTCCAAGACCACGCTGAACTACATAGTGAGACCTGTCTCAGAAAAAAAAAAAAAAAAAACAGCTGAGAAAAATAGACTGTAGATAAGCCCATGCTTTATCAACTAAACCCTAACTTAAAAAAAAAAAAAAAAAAAAAGACCAGGGTGCTGGAGAGCAGAAGGTGAAGGAAGGAGAAACAGCAGGTAAGATTCTCATGGGACCAGGGAGTTTTTAGCAAAGGAGCAACAAGATCTGATGCTTTCACAAGATCTTGTCAGCTCTCAAATGGCGAACACATTGGAGAAGGCAGGCGTGGGGGCCAGGAAGCTAACCGGGAGGTAATTAAAGTGGCCAGGGAGAGAGTGGCCGGGTAAGGGCAGAACAGGTGAAACAGAAAGACTTGGAGTTTGTTTTGGAAGTAGAGCTGGTGGCCCTTGCTGGGGATTGTATGTTTGAAAGAGCAGTGGAGGTGAATTCTTTGGTTTTTAGCTTGATCAGCTTGGTGGATGGCGGTACCCTTTACCGAAAGGGGCAGCGGAAGTGAAGGGCTGATGTGGGAGAGAAAATAATTTCTTCCCTTCTGCTAATGGAATTTTCTTTTAAAAAAATTTTTTTATGAGTCCATGTTTGCAGTATAAAATGACATGTACCTGACACATCATTCTTTTTACGTCACCTTCCCCTCCCCCGCCATCTCTTGGTCCTTGTCCTAGCTACTTTTATTGTTGCTGAGACAAAATACCCAACACCCAAAGTTAAGGGTGGAAAGGCGTATATCTGCTCACAATTTATAGAGGTTTCAGCTCATAATTGGCTGGATCCAAGGGAGGGTGGCACAGCAGAGGAGAAAAAATAGTTCGTGGAATGGAAGGCAGGAGGCAGGAAAAGTAGCAAGCTGCAAGTGACAACAGTGACCCTTTTTCTCTCCTTTATATGTATATATATTTTTTTCTTTTGGTACTGGGGATCGAACTTGGGACCTTGTGGTTGCAAGGCAGGCAGCAGAACCACTGAGCTAAATCCCTGGCCCTCTCTCCTTTATATTTTATCCAGGCTACCTGCCTTTAGATGGGTAGCACTTACACCCTGGGTTGGGCACCCTTAATCCTACCTAGAACTGCGCCAAACCAATCAGTGGGCTAATTTAGTAATCACACACCCTTGATCCCAGCATCACACA